TGGGCTTTGACTAGGCCATTCCAAGACATTTAAATGTTTCCCCTTAAACCAGTCGAGTGTTGCTTTAGCAGTATGCTTAGGGTCATTGTCCTGCTGGAAGGTGAACCTCTGTCCCAGTCTCAAATCTCTGGAAGACTGAAACAGGTTTCCCTCAAGAACTTCCCTGTATTTAGCGCCATCCATCATTCCTTCAATTCTGACCAGTTTCCCAGTCCCTGCCGATGAAAAACATCCCCACAGCATGATGCTGCCACCACCATGATGGTGTTCTCGGGGTTATGAGAGGTGTTGGGTTTGCGCCAGACATACCGTTTTCCTTGATGGCCAAAACGCTCAATTTTAGTCTCATCTGACCAGAGTAGCTTCTTCCATATGTTTGCTCTTTTGGCGAACACCAAATGTGTTTGCTTATTTTTTCTGGCCACTCTTCTGTAAAGCCCAGCTCTGTGGAGTGTATGGCTTAAAATGGTCCTATGGACAGATACTCCAATCTCCGCTGTGGAGCTTTGCAGCTCCTTCAGGGTTATCTTTGGTCTCTTTGTTGCCTCTCTGATTAATGCCCTCCTTGCCTGGTCCGTGAGTTTTGGTGGGCGGCCCTCGCTTGGCAGGTTTGTTGTGGTGCCATTTTAAAAAATGGATTTAATGGTGCTCCATGGGATGTTCAAAGTTTCAGATATTTTTTTATAACCCAACCCTGATCTGTACTTCTCCACAACTTTGTCCCTGACCTGTTTGGAGAGCTCCTTGGTCTTCATGGTGCCGCTTGCTTGGTGGTGCCCCTTGCTTAGTGGTGTTGCAGACTCTGGGGCCTTTCAGAACAGGTGTATATATGCTGAGATCATGTGACACTTAGATTGCACACAGGTGGACTTTATTTAACTAATTATGTGACATCTGAAGGCAATTGGTTGCACCAGATCTTATTCAGTGGCTTCATAGCAAAGGGGGTGAATATATATGCAACACATTTGTTTACATCCCTGTTAGTGAGCATTTATCCTTTGCCAAGATAATCCATCCACCTGACAGGTGTGGCATATCAAGAAGCTGATTAAACAGCATGATCATTACACAGGTGCACCTTGTGCTGGGAACAATAAAAGGCCACTTTAAAATGTGCAGTTTTGTCACACAACCTAATGCCACAGATGTCTCTTTGAGGGAGCATGCAATTGGCATGATGACTGCAGAAATGTCCACCAGAGCTGTTACCAGATAATTTTATGTTCATTTCTCTACCAAAAGCCTCCTCCAATGTCATTTTAGAGAATTTTGCAGGACGTCCAACCAGCCTCACAACCGCAGGACATGTGTATGGCGTCGTGTGGGCGAGAGGTTTGCTGATGTTAACGTTGTGAACAGAGTGCCCCATGGTGGCGGTGGGGATATGGTATGGGCAGGCATAAGCTATGGACAACGAACACAATTGCATTTTATCGATGGCAATTTGAATGCACAGAGATACCGTGTAAACGAAATCCTGAGGCCCATTGTAGTGCCATTCATCAGCCGCCATCACCTCATGTTTCAGCATGATAATGCAAACCCCCATGTCTTAAGGATCTGTACAAAATTCCTGGAAGTTGAAAATGTCCCAGTTCTTCCATGGCCTGCATACTCACCAGACATGTCACCCATTGAGCATGTTTGGGATGCTCTGGATCAACGTGTACGACAGCGTGTTCCAGTTCCCGCCAACATCCAGCTCTTCGCACTGCCATTGAAGAGGAGTGGGACAACATACCACAGGCCACAATCAAAAGCCTGATCAACTCTATGCGAAGGAGATGTGTCACGCTGCATGAGGCAAATGGTGGTCACAACCGATACTGACTGGTTTTCTGACCCACGCCCCTACTTTTTTTTAAGGTATCTGTGACCAACAGATGCATATCTATATTCCCAGTCATGTGAAATCCATAGATTAGGGCCTAATGAATGTATTTCAATTGACTGATTTCCTTATATGAACTGTAACTCAGTAAAATCTTTGAAATTGTTGCATGTTGTGTTTATACATATTTTTGTTCAGTATATATTCCACTGCTACTAGAGCTTGCTGTTGCGTGATAGTAAACAAGAAAATAACTGTAATTCATCTATAGCTTCAAGTCTATTTTCTCACTGAAAATATTAATATCAAGGAAAAATGTCTGAGACAGCCCCAATGCAGACCCTTGTTGTTCAAAACAACATCAACTGCAGCACATGTATGATGTGGTTTCTGTGCACTGGGATCAACCACACATCAACATGTAGCCTACTGGCATCCCTATGGTATCTGTTTAGTTTCATAGTGCATACACAAAAGTATTCTCTGGTACCACATGATATGATAAGATATAAGATAATTACATACATGTGGTTCCACATAGAAATGTTTTAAAGATGGGACCTACCTTCATATTTGTCAGAAAAATGACATGCCGGTATTAATATTGTTGCAGACAGTATAAAGTAATCATCCATGTCTCCAAAATTGAAACAACAGAAAATAATTTCAAGTTCTGATATGGTGTACTCATAAATTATTGTTATTCAATCAACGCCGTTTTTCTTTCTTTGCAAAACGTATTCCGGCTTTAGCGGAGTGTAGCCTATGACGTTGCAGTGTTTGTTGTGCTTTGTATTCTCAAATCAAAAGTGATACTATAGCACCCTCTGTTGGGGCACAGCTGCACCACAGTGTGAGGTCTAGTTTATAATCGTGTATATTCAAACTGTAGTATAGTCAATCACCCAGTAGAGGGCAGTGGAGAGATACAGATGGATGAAGTCTAGAAGTTGCTGAGAGAAAATTGTGGCTGCGTCTGTAAAAACGTTACTAGCTGTCATGTTCTTGCTTGTCCATTACGAAGACAAAACCAGAAAGTGTACTGTAACTGATTGCCAAAAGCAGTTTATTTAATTAACCCTCACCTCAACCTGAATTTGTTGGTCACTTGTTAAAAAATAAAAATAAACACTTCACTTGCTATTTCTCAATTGATATTTTTCTCCAGTGCGTTTTGAGAATGGGGTGAGGAGAAAATGTGAGGAATGGAGGAAAGTTAAAAGATGTATAAAGATACATCTTATTCAGATGAAGATCTGATGTACGGAACATTAACTAAAGTGCATACTGTATATTCAACATATTTAGTCAATTTTGTTTAATGAAATGTGGTGATTTAATAAACAGGTTTTGCAGCATTATAAACAATTAGAGCAAATACATTATTTACATGTCAAAATTCCATAGGCCTAATTTAGGTCTAGATTCAATCAGATCAAGCGACACCCGCATAGCTGATGTTTAGCACCCACATAGCTGATGTTTCGGAGGTGTCAAATCTGTAACTGCATTGGATCTGTCAAATCGGTGAGCAGCCACTCCTGTTAGAAGTTCAGAATGAGAAAGTGTAGGATAAATAATGACGCTCAAATTGAAAATCATTAAACTAAAAAAAGAGGATTTCTATCATCATAATGGAGGGGTAGATTATATCTCACATTCCAGTGTTCCTACTTGTAAACAAGGCTGCATGGGATTTCTCTTAATGCGACTCCATGCTGCCAATGGCAATGTCCGCTTTAGGTATAATGCCAGGAGCCGCTTGTGGATTTGACAGCTCTATGCAGTTCCACCGCCAAAACAACCGCTATGCGGATGTCGGCTAAAGTGGATCTGATTGAATAGAGCCCTAATTTAATTGTGTCAAATATCCATTCTCTAAAATGGCATCTAAACCATTTTCCAGTTATGAAAGATTCGTACCAAAGGCGCACACACGTACACACACACACACACGTACACACACACACACGTACACGCACACACACACACACACACACACACACACTCAAAACAGAAAAGTCAGATAATGAGACACCCAGACCCACAGTACAATATTTAGTGTCTTTATAAAACAACATATTTGCTAAATATAGCCAAGGCTAATTTAAATATGCATAAATAGCAAGAAAATAGTTTCCCATTTCATTTCAATTAAAACAATTCTGAATAGCAATATTTATACATAGATTAGATAAGAGCAATATATGAACATAGGGTACAAACCCTTTAAATTTCTTAACGCACCCATCAAGAGCAGGACATAGCTAAAGCAATAATACGGTGTATATCAGTCTAACAAATTGTACACATCTTGGTCTTTAGAAGAAACACAGATACCATATGTAACACAAGGCTTTATTGAAGTTTGTGAAATATCAAACTCCACATCTTTGGATGGGTTATCGATGATAAAAACCACAACAAGTATAATACAACAATAATCAATATGACTATGGTCAAAATCTTTAAAACATTTTGTATATATTTACAAAACCTGAGAACAAGGCAATACAAGGGTGAAAACAAGTTTTGGATCCAGACTTTTTTTTAAAGTCAAGTGAATAATTTTCTCCTGGTGTTGAATGTTCTTCAGTGGCTTTGGCTACCCTGTTTATTAGAACTGATATTGGTCTGCAACTTTGGATGCATTTGGAATCCGTTTGTAGCTTATAAATGACTTTGATGGCTGATATCGGTTTATTTCTTTGTAGACTGTGAATTTGGGAAACAACCTATTGCCATTATTAAGTATACTATGAATTATACTATGAATTACACATTTACATTAATTGTAGTCAATAATCCAAATATAAACACTGTTATCATGTCCTGAGAGTATTATTATTATTTATTTAGTTTTTAGTACTTTTGCAACATGCAAAATCTATTCATCCAGTTTTACTTCTTCAAATGAAATGTTTTTATCAAAATCCTTATGATTTGGATCTGAGATGTCTAAAATCAACTGTTTTCCAGTAATGACCCTGTTTTTTATACATTTATATTCCCAGACATTACTCCCCTCAAACTCTCATTTCCTCAGCCTTATATCCTTATATCTCTAAACAGCAGGTAGAAAATCTTTCAGGCAGAGAACTCTCTCTGTTCTGTATGGTTCTTTGAACTCTGAGATTAAGCATCAGTTAGCTATCTGTTGGAAGTGTCAGTTGGCCGGCTCAGGGATGGGAGAGGCGTGGTTCTCCAGTCTCATGGTCCAGGGGTCAGGGGTCGGGGTGTAAAATGGAGGGTGGGTAAGGACTTCCCCCCCAGGCCCCGCCAGGGCAAAGGTGAACACGCCCCTCTGTCTCTTCAGCTCCACCTCGTCAACCACATGTTTCCTGTCTGACCAGTGATGCCGAGCCTCCCGGCCCTCCCTGCCCTCCCTGCCCTCCTGGCTCTCTCTGCTGTCACTGTTCAAGTCCTTATAGCCCAGGCCCTTGCCACCCAGACCCAGGGCCCGTCTCTCTCTCTCCCCCAGGCCCAGACCATGACCTCTAACGCCTCTGTGGGAGGAGGGCAGGAGTCGGCAGCCACCCTTAGACAGACCCTGCCCCTTGCCGTCCTCGTTGTGATTGGCCGAACCCAGAGGACCCTGCAGGAAGTTGTTGGCTGAGCGCCAGGCAGCGGGCTTGCGGCCCCGTCGAGGGCGTGAGACGCGGCAGCTCTGCCTCTTGATGTGGCGGTGCAGGTGGTCTGAGCGCGTGAAGCTCTTGTAGCAGTGCTCACACTGGTAGGGTCGCACCCCTGTGTGGATACGCAGGTGGTTCTTCAGGTCGTAGTTGTGGACAAACTTGGAGTTGCAGTGGAGGCAGATGTAGGGCCGTTCACCAGTGTGCTTCCGCATGTGGATCTTCAGCTTGTCTTGCCTGAATAGAAAAAATAGGATTTTATATGATTTACTTTAGTTCACCTTTATTTTACCAGGTTGTCCCATTGAGGTCAAAATATATATATTTTTCAAGGGGTTGTCCTTTCAAGTATGTGTTTTGAAAGATGTATCAGAGATTAAAGCATTGTTGGTGGGTATACTCTGGGGTATGTACTAAATGTGCCAGGTGAAACTATCGTGCCAGAGCAGAGGCAGGAAGTGACTAGAAAGAAAGACAGGGGGTTTCCACTTCTTAGGTCTCGGATGATATTCAGATGAGAGGATACAAATTAAATGCCTTAACCACAAAAACACACCCATAATACCCCTCTCAATGTCAGATGTTAATGATTGTTATCTTGTTCTACATGTAGGCATTTTGATAATTATATTAGAATATGATCAGGCAACACTTTTACCTAATCCCTTATCCACTTCTCCACATACGCGGCATCACTAATGGATACTGTATGTGTCAGTACTGTGTTTATTGGCTTTTTATAATCTTGCAGAAGATGGTACAGTATGAAGAGAGTTTGTCATACCTGGTGAAGCGCACCTCACAGATGGTGCACATGTATGGTTTCTCTCCTGTGTGAGTCCTCATGTGTCTGGGTAGTTTCCCCGCCCCCTGGATCACCTTGTTACAGATGGGACACTGCTGGGATGCTTTCGGCTTCATCTTCCTCTCCTCCTCCATCTGCCAGGGAGGGAACAGCGCCCCCAGGTGGCTCGATGCTCTCAGGAAGCTCAGGTAGGACCGGAAGTCTTCCTCGTGCTTTATCTGACCCGGGTGGAGGCGAGGCCCCTCAGACCCCATCCCCAGGCCGGAGGTCATTAAGTCTTTCAGGAAGTCACCGTGAAGCATGCTGGGCGGGACTTCCTCCTTCAGCTCCTCCTTGATGACCTCTCTCTTCACGGCCAGGTCTAAGGGTCGGTTGTCCAGTTGAGGGGGGTGGGAGGAGGGGCGGAGGGGCGGGGTCTGGGCGTGGTGGCTGGGGTTGTGGTTGGGGTCTGGGACCTGCGGGGGAAATCCTTGGAACTCTGCAGCCCACATGGGAGGGTAGTAGCCGGGGTGCAGAGGGGAAAAGTTGGCCCTCCTGTCCAGGACTGCTGGTAGTTTAGGGTACAGCCCTTCCTGTAGCAGAGACTCAATGGAAAAGTCCTTGAGGGCTCGGCTCTCCATGCGTTCATGCTCCCGCCTGGGTTTCTCACACTGGGAGTCTGTGTCTGTGCACTTCCTGTTCCTCTGCAGCTCGTACTGGTGCTGGTACTGGGAGGTACTGGGTGGACTTGGTGGTACTTCTCTCTCTGACCCGACCTGGTCCTGACTCTCTGATGACCTCGTTGACCACTCACTGGCGTTGTCCTCCTCATGAACCTCCTGCTCGTCCTTCCTCGACTCTTCCTCTTCCTCCTCCTCCTCCTCCTCCTCCTCTTCCTCATCTCCCTCTCCTCCTCCTCCTCCTCCTCTTCCTCCCTTGCCAGAGTCCATAATCTCCAGACAGACGTTGACAATGCAGGGGATCTCCAGCATCTGAGCCGCTCCAAGAATTTCCTTCACGTTGGACGCCGTCACCGTCAGCGTAGACGTGTAGGCGAACTCCAAGATGGCCGTCAGCGACTCGGGGGCCACGAAGTCTATCTCATACACCCCGTGCTTGTCCCCTCCGTCTGAGGCCACGGTGAAGAGCTTGTTGAAATACTGGCTACAGGCGGCGAGGACAGAGCGGTGGGTCTGATACTCCTGGCCACGTACGATGAGCACCACGTCACAGAGTAACCCGGTTCGGCGCTGTTCGTTAAGGCAGCACAGGACATCACTGCTGTGGTTGGGGAATGGAATCCCGATCAGGTCATCTTCACTGTGGCCCATCCTCTACTCTCCTTCTCCTTTCTCTGATCTACAGAACAGGGAGACAGACATTAACTATGAGTACTATGTAGACATTATGTTTAACCAGGCAAGTCACTGATTTATAGCAATCACATTTATTTCACATTTATAGTCCTCTTTACATCAACAGTTGTCACAAAGAGCTTTACAGTAACCCTGCCTATATCCCAAAGAGCTTTACAGTAACCCTGCCTAGATCCCAAAGAGCTGTACAGTAACCCTGCCTAGAACCCAAAGAGCTTTACAGTAACCCTGCCTAGATCCCAAAGAGCTTTACAGTAACGCTGCCTAGATCCCAAAGAGCTTTACAGTAACCCTGCCTAGATCCCAAAGAGCTTTACAGTAATCCTGCCTAGATCCTAAAGAGCTTTACAGTAACCCTGCCTAGATCCCAAAGAGCTTTACAGTAACAGTAATCCATTGCCTAGATCCCAAAGAGCTTTACAGTAACCCTGCCTAGATCCCAAAGAGCTTTACAGTAACCCTGCCTAGACCCCAAAGAGCTTTACAGTAACCCTGCCTAGATCCCAAAGAGCTTTACAGTAACCCTGCCTAGATCCCAAAGAGCTTTACAGTAACACTGCCTAGATCCCAAAGAGCTTTACAGTAACCCTGCCTAGATCTCAAAGAGCTTTACAGTAACCCTGCCTAGATCCCAAAGAGCTTTACAGTAACCCTGTCTAGATCCCAAAGAGCTTTACAGTAACCCTGCCTAGATCCCAAAGAGCTTTACAGTAATGCTGCCTAGATCCCAAAGAGCTTTACAGTAACCCTTTGTAGATCCCAAAGAGCTTTACAGTAACCCTTCCTATATCCCAAATCACTTTACAGTAACCCTGCCTAGATCCCAAAGAGCTTTACTGTAACCCTGCCTAGATCCCAAAGAGCTTTACAGTAACCCTGCCTATATCCCAAAGAGCTTTACAGTAACCCTGCCTAGATCCCAAAGAGCTTTACAGTAACCCTGCCTAGATCCCAAAGAGCTTTACAGTAACCCTGCCTAGATCCCAAAGAGCTTTACAGTAACCCTGCCTAGATCCCAAAGAGCTTTACAGTAACGCTGTCTAGATCCCAAAGAGCTTTACAGTAACGCTTCCTAGATCCCAAAGAGCTTTACAGTAACACTGCCTAGATCCCAAAGAGCTTTACAGTAACCCTGCCTAGATCCCAAAGAGCTTTACAGTAACGCTGCCTAGATCCCAAAGAGCTTTACAGTAACCCTGTCTAGATCCCAAAGAGCTTTACAGTAACGCTGCCTAGATCCCAAAGAGCTTTACAGTAACCCTGTCTAGATCCCAAAGAGCTTTACAGTAACGCTGCCTAGATCCCAAAGAGCTTTACAGTAACGCTGCCTAGATCCCAAAGAGCTTTACAGTAACGCTGCCTAGATCCCAAAGAGCTTTACAGTAACGCTGCCTAGATCCCAAAGAGGGAGCAGAAACACAGTGACAAAGAAGCGTTATTACTATGGAGGTAGACATGTTATTTTCTTCATAAAATGTATAAAACATTATTTCACCAGGCAAGTTAATTTAGAACATGTAGAGATACAACAAATCACTTTGCAGAGCTGCACGGACCACAGTTGACGATCGATTCATTGTCTTTTGATTATAGTAAAAGTGGTGTTGAATGCTATCCTAAATGGTCTTGTCCATTCTAAGTAATGTTTACAGTGAGTGAAAAAATGGTTTGGGACAGTTTCTCGCCCATTCATGTCTTGTCTATAAATAGAGCTTAAACTTAGCTGTCCGCTCCTCAGTGGTTAGAGCGGCCATGTGGATAGATACTTTCAGATGGCTTCTTGCCACAACTGCATTGTTGATTGGATCTCAATGGTCCATAGTTAACATGACATATGTACGCTATGAGTTTCCAACCCCATATTAACACTCCTCTCTCTATACATCACACAGGAGAAATATTTAAAACATCTCCTTAATTAATTTCTAGTTGACATTGTGCTCAGTTACCAATCAAATGTATAATGTTCTCGATCTTGTTGCTAGGGAACAGTTGCTATGATTATGATACAGATGTAGACAGTATCTACACACAGTGGAAGACCTATAAGCGAATATATAAGCTACAGATATACAGTGGAGGATGAAGTAACTGTGATGGGCAACTTGAAACAAAAGACAGAGTGGAATTCAGAGAGCTTATTGTATCTGTTCTGCCTCCAGACAGTTAATATAAAGAGCAAGTTGCTTCATTGTAAAATATGCGTCCATAATAAGAGTAAACTATCCCTCGATTCACACAGATTGCTATAACCTCTAGGACATAAGATCAATAAGGACTAGCATATCTTTCATCTGCTTTACCATATTAGCATTATTCTTGGAAGCAGCTGATATTGACACAAGGGATCTAATCATCTTCTAGGTCTTGGTAA